ATGACCTAGATCTGGGTAGGGCACAGCAAAGCAAGCCACACCTTTTGACCTCTTCCCTGCTCTGGGAGAAATGACAGTGTGCACACATGAAGCAATCTGGCTCCCATTGTCAGATCATGAACAGTGACTACTATATTTGTCCTCCAGCTCTACACAGCCCTATTAACACCCCTTGCCAGGTGACGTGAACACCTGGTTGGGTTGTTTGGAGGGATCTCTTGGGTGTGGAAAAATTGATGGGCCAGAACTGGGACATGTCAGTAAGCATACAGAGGTTCTGTGATTGTCCAGGTGGGACTAAGTTCAACACAGACATGGGCTGTTTGGCATGTAGATGCTCAGGCTTGCCCTGTTGCAAACTGGTACTCCAGGTGAAGAAGTTGATCCTTAGCCTTACCAACCTCTATCTACTTTTCTTGGCCCTTCCAATTCTCTAACCTGCTCACCTAACTTTCTTCTGTTTGCCTGTTTACTGAGTCAGAGACCCAGCCCATGGGATGGTGTCACCCTCATTCGGGGTGTGTCTTCCTTCTTCAGGCAAATTTTTAAAACTATAGTGTATTTGTTTATGTATTGTCTTAGGGTTTCCGTTGCTGTGATGTCTGGATATGCTAACATCAAGCTCTTTGACCCTGGCTATGTGAACTTCAATCCTAATGGTGTCGTGGAAAACTCAGATTAGTGTTGATGTGAAAGTATTGTACCAGGAGAGTGAGTAATCTGAACAAGGGGAGAGGAGAGGGGCTCTGAGTGGCAGGCTTTTCCTAGATGCTGAAAAGAAAGGCAGGGCATGGGTGCTGAGGGCAATGAACAGTCCGTGGTTATGAGACTGTGTTGACACTTGTTAGACTTGGCGGTGAGGGCAGATGTAGCTCCCTTGGTAGAGTGCTTGCCTACCAAGTACAAAGCCCTGGCTTCAATCCCAGAGCGACATAAATTGAGCATGGTGTTACCTAGCTGTGGTCTTAGGACCAGGAAGGTAGAAGCAAGAAGATCAGAAGTTCATGGTCACCCTCAGCAACATAGTGAGTTCATGGCTAGCCTGTGCTACACAAGACCCCCTCATACAAACAAACAACAACAAAATAATGGTGGAGGAGGTTTTATTTGTATAGTCAAGCCTGTCCTAAGGGAGAGAAACAATGGACTTAATTACAAGTCCAACAAGGACAAGTTATAGCCAATGGACAAGGAAAGGGTAAAAGTTACTGCAAGACCCTTGGTCAGCATTGGAGAGTAGGGAACTGACTGACGGTCAAGAGTGAGGAAGAGAAGCCTTACTGGCTTACAAGCCTGGCATTTCTGGATAAATTGGCTTGATAGAATACTTCACTTAAACTCAAGAGAGTAAGCCAGGGTCAAGGTCCCATGGAGACAAAGGCTAAAAGAAGTTCAGCTAAATGTCAATCAGGTCTTGGTCTGCATGTATCCATGGGATGCTGGAATAGCCACACCCACAGTTGAGGTGAAGATAAGGTCTTCATACAAATTAAAGGCAGTTCAACTCCTAAGGTCTAAAACAGCCCTCTTATCCCAAGTGGCCTTTGTTGGCCAGGCTTTGGGAAGAAGCTGAGTTCAGACTTTGGATGCTTGAGAGCTCAGGAGCACTGAGGATCTCAGGTCACTGCTCCTGTCTCTGAGACACAGCTTGTCCCAGCTCAGGTTCTGAATGCCTTGCCATTCATTTATTCCCTCAGGTTACTGAAAGCTCCACTCAGATTGGCCCAAATGATTGGAAGAATCATTCTCATGCATTGACTATAGGTCTAAAGCTTGGAACTATTATTGAGGTCAAGAACCTGGCTGCTTCCACTCTGCCATCCTCCATAGACACACAAACATGACAGATCCCTCTCTGGTGGACTCACACTTCATTATCCACAATAGGATGCTTGTCCTTTCCTGAAGCCATCCTTAGCATAGCAGTAAGGTTTAAGAGTGTCTTTGGCTAACTGCTTGGAGTAAAATGGCAGGGTAGAGTAAACAGTGTATCTTCTACTCATGCTTCTTGAGTGAGGGAGAAGTCAGGGCTACAGAGCTGACTACCGCTAGCCTAAAAGATATGCAAGATGTTACTTGCATCCCTGAGTGAGAGCAAGGGAGCGGTTTCCATGTGCCAGAGGTTCTGGGCACAGTTCCTAGAGGTTCCCTAGGGCCTCAGAGAAGGGGCACTAAATTCCTAGGCTTGGCTCCTCGAGGGCTTTGTGTACCAAAAATGCTTTTCTTGAGCACCTGGCCTGCTCCCAAGCCTGACCAGCTTCCGCTCTAAGAAGGTTCCATCTGCCATCAGAGCATCAGGGGCAGGGGAAGATGTCACAGAAACATATATGCCCCAGCATGCTTCCTTGGTGAGGTTGCAGCCTCAATGATCTGTGTCTAGCTTTCTCCATCCCTCTCCTCTCTGGCTAGTTCTGTGGTTGACCAGAACAGCTCAGATGGTCTTTGGGAGCAGACAGCCCACTTGTCTTCTGAAACCCTAGATGACCTTGCCCTAGGTTGCAGAAGACCAGAAGGTTCCAAGGTGTGGTTGTGAAGATGTATAAGCCTCTTCTCCCTTGAGCATCCTAAGCCATTTGTTCTCTCGGTGTGTGTGTGTGTGTGTGTGTGTGTGTGTGTGTGTGTGTGTGTGTGTGTGTGTGTGTGTATTGCAATAGGGTAGGTTCTCAGGTGAAGCAAATGTCTGAGGTTTATTGCCCAGGCCAGTCAAATGGCATAATAAGTCATATAAACAGTATGAAATGCTTCTATAGGAGTAGTGAGCATGGAGTGAGCTCCAGACGCCTCCCCAAGAGAACTAGAGTGACTGGCATGTTGTGTACTTTGGTTAGAATCACTTTGGTAGTTTTAAGGGCAGGGGGGATAAAATCATCATTCACCCCAGTATGTGTTATGGGGCTGATTTGGAGTCACAAACATTGATGAGCTCAAACTGCGAGATTACATGGGGGAGTCAGATGACAGCAGAAGAAAAATTTGAAAACCCTGGATATAGTTGGGCATTGGATGAAGTCCCTTTCCGGAGAATGGAAGTCTGAGAACCACTCCCACCATTCCTGAAGACCCACTTCTTCTTCTTTTTTTTTTTTAACTTTTTTACTTTTTATTTTATGTGCATTGGTATTTTGCCTTCATGTACATCTATGTGAAGGTGTCAGATCCCCTGGAACTGGGGTTACAGACAGTTATGAGTTGTCTCATGGGTGCTGGGAGTCGAACCCGGGTCCTCTGGAGGAGCAGTCAATGCACTTAGCTGCTGTACCATCCCTCCAGCTGAAGACCGACTTCTAAAGGCAATCAATCTGTTATGACAGGCAAGGACGGGCGGCAGGTCCCAATATTGAGACATGGGACTGAAACCCACACTAGTTACAGAATTCTCCTTCTAGATTAGAAATTTTAATAGCGGAGCAGCATGGACAGATGGGATTTGAGCAAGTGATTTGTGTAAGCAGTCTACAATTCACTGGAGGGTTTTGTTCCCAGTAGTTTATCACGAGGTAGTCACTTGGTCCTTTGGAAACAAGAATTAAATTTTCTCCACAGCAGAATACCCTTGAATGTGTTTTGATTTTTGCATTAGTATCCCAAATTTATTTACCCTTTAATGTTGCAAAAAAAGACTTTGAATGTGGGATTAATCAGGGGCGCCTTCATGATAGCTAAAAGAGCATCACGGGAGATGATCATCTCAGTTTCTTTTTCTTTCCTGAGATAAAATACATGGACAAAAGCTGCTTAGGATCGGGGAAGGGAGGTCACGGCAGCAGAAGCTGGGGCAGCTGGTCACATTGGACTCACAATTAAGAAGCAAAGAATGCCTGTGCTCAGCTCACGTGTCCCTTTTTATACAGTCTAGGATCCCAGCCCATGGGATGGTGGCACCCACAGTAGGTGGGTCCTTCGCACCTCAGCCTTACCAAGTTAATCCCCCACAGGTGTGCCCAGAGGCAGGTCTCCAACATGACAGTAGATGAGATGACAAGTGAGGGGGGTCCCCAAGATGATGGTGGATTTCCCACCTTGACTGGTGTGACCTGAAGAAAAAACAGACTGAACTGAAGGAGCAAGAAGCTAACCTCATCACATGTAAGAGTGGGAAAGGGTCTGAGAGAGGGTTGGGTTCACACCCGCCCCTAACAAATAAGGAAAGTGGGACTCGGAGAGGCTCTTTAGCCTAAGGCTACACAGACAGTGAGGTAGGACTAGAACCCAGGCCCACCCTGACTAGGGAGTGATGCCTATGAGGTTTCTAAAGAGAATTTCAAGTATGTTCAAGCAGTGTTGGGCTTCATTGAAAATCTGTTTTCCCAGGTTCCTCATAACATATTCCCTGTTCTTCATTTTATAAATGGAGGTGAGGCTGAGGACTGGGGGCAGAGCCCTGGCATCTACAGATAGAAATAAGAGGTAGAAGACATTCTACAAAACCCAGCAAGGCCAGACTAATGAAGATGGAGGTGTGGGAGAGCTGGATCTGAGGATGTGGAGAACATGTGGTCCAAACAAGGAGGATGACTGAGATGGAGCCCGGCAGGTGCGCTGCAGCCCTGGGTAGTCTTGTCGCTGCCCTTGCCGGAAAAACACCTTAGAACAGAAGACCAAGGCTCCTTGGCAGGAACACGGGCAATTGATGGCTTCCTTATTTTCTAATAACTGACTGAAGCCACATGGGAGAGAAGGTGTTTGTATTGGTGCATGATGTAAGGAATCAATCATTGATAGTGGCAGGACAGACATGGTGACTTGGGTTATAGCAAGGGACGGGGACACACACACACACACACACACACACACACACACACACACACACACACACACCTTAGTAAATTAGAAAACAGAGAGCTGGGGCAACATGAGGACCAGGCTATAATCCTCCTACCGTCTTTCCCAGCGACCTATTTATTCTCTCTAACCTACTGAAAACCGAATAACTTCCTAAACAGTACCACAGCTGGAGACCAAGTATTCAAACACAGAAGACTACAGGGAACGTTTTTATATTCAAGCCATAACATCCTACCCCTGGCCCCCATAGACTCATGGCCAGCTCACATTGTAAGATGTATTCAGTCCAACTTCAAAAGTCCCAATACTCCTAACAGTTTCAACACTGTTCAAAAATCCAAAGTTCAAAATCTCTTCTGAGACTCAAGGCAAACTCAAAGCTGTGAGCTCTGTAAAATTAAAAAAAAAAAGTTTATATACTGCTAGTACACAATGCTATGGAATAAACATACCCATCCCACAGGGAAGAAAGAGGGCATGAGGAAAGACTGAACCAAAGTGAGCCCTAAACCCAGTGGGTCAAAGCCTAACTCCTGGAGCTCAATGTCTAACATCTGTAGTAGCAGCAGCAGCTGTGCCCACCCCCCTGGCTTGGGTAGCTTCACCCCTGCAGCTGTGCCCAGGGAAGGGGGCCTTGGGTAGCTTCACCCCTGCAGCTGTGCCCAGGAAAGGGGGCCTTGGGTAGCTTCACCCCTGCAGCTGTGCTGCCAATAGCAAAGATGACCTCTCTCCTAGACTGGCTCCACTCAGTGCCTACAGCTTTCCTCAGTAGACACTCTGCTCCCGGCGTTTCTAATATCTTATGGTTTCTATCAAAACTTAGGCTTCATATTCATACATTGGCCTCTCAGGGTCACTTTTCAGGAAATCCCATCTCTGTAAATACTACCTGACCTCAGTGGCTTCATTCTGGACCCTTGATGTGAACCTCCATGACCCTGTAACTTCTGTATTCTGAATGTCCAAAAAAGAGTCTTCATAGACACTTCCCTAGGTGGGGGTGCGCAGGCAGGGTCCCTGGACATGCTCTTTGTTCAGGCATTCTCTTCTCAAATGACAGTTTTTAAAAATGAGTGTGCTGTTATACCCTGGAACTCTCGGTGGATGAGGTCTTGCACTTAAGATACTTTTCTTATTATCCTGCTGCCAAATGTGAGGTTTCTCTTTATGTGGCCAATCTGCTTAACAATTGCAGTGGCTTTCTCTGCACCCAACTTCTCTGCAACTTTAAATATGCCCAAGCTCCTGTCTTCCATGAACTGTACATTTTCTTCGTATTTGTGCTCTGCTTTTCTCCATCCTCCTCTCTCTCTCTCTCTCTCTCTCTCTCTCTCTCTCTCTCTCTCTCTCTCTCTCTCCTCTTTCTTTCCTTCTCCCCCTCTCACCTCGTGGTATGTACCCCTAAATACCATGAGCAGTAACCACACCCCAGTCTAAATGCTATGCTGTTTTAAATTACTCTACCAAAGAAATAGGCATTGTCAGTCATTTTTAGTTAAGCCTTACTCAAACTTTCAGAGCAGTGGGAGAACATAGGCAACTTATTTGCCAGAAGGTAATATGAATGATTTCTAGCACAACCCCTGATAGACACCTTGTCTTCATCTCCAAAACCTCATGATCACAGGCTCTCTTGTCTGCATTTCTACTGGCATTCTAGCCTCTTGAGTTCCCCTCCAAATAGTTCACTACCCTCTCATATTTCTCCCACAAACCAGCTCTAAAGACCTACAAATCACAGGGTCAGGTTTCTCATAGCAACAACCCCACTCCTGGTACTAATTCTTTGAATTAGTTACTTCCATCACTTCTGTGCCAAACATCTGATAAAAGCAACCTGAGAAAGGAGAGGTTTGTTTTGACTCACACTTTGCAGGGATCCAGTCCTTCCTGGCATGACAGACAGAGATCTACTCATGGTGGGACTCCATCTATGGCAGTGGGAGCTTGTGATACATCTTATTGAATCTCAGTGGATCAGGAAGGAGGAGCTCAGGCTAGGATCAAAGTCAGGCTGTCACCCTCATGACCTATCCCCCAGTGGCTCACCTTTTCCACCTGGTGCCCATTAAAGGTTCCACAGCCTCCCCCCAACAGCACCAAACACATCAGCCTATGGAGCACATTTTGCATTCATACCATAGCAACTCCTTCAATAAATGGGAGGACGATTATCCAAAGGCACAGAGCTCATGATTCAAGTGTATGACACTCATAGTACATTGAAGCTAAAATAGGAAATAAAAGGCACTTATTCACTCCACAAGTCTCACACGGGCATCCAGCTTGAAGCTCACCACTCTGGGCTCAGGATGACCTGTGGGCGGAGAGGCAACCTTGAGCAATGGGGACTCACAGGCTCCTTTTCTCTCTGTTGTGTTTCTTTACCCCAGACTATAAACTGCTTGAGGACATAGGCTGTCTTTTGGTTTTCTTGTTTTTAATTCTCCAGACTCCCCAACAGCTGTTTGGTAATATCCACTGAATGAAGTTACTCAATTTTAAGTGGATTTCTGACAGCAAAAACATTTGAAAAAAATAACACTATGTAAAATTGGCACTTGAAATTCAAGGCAAATGTCTCTTTAAAATCTATAATTTAGAGGTCTAATTCTAATCATGACTCTTGTACGGGAGTCTGTCTGCATTCAGGCTTTTCCTGGGGAAAGGGGCTCTTTGGCAGCTTCCCTACCCACCCTGGTGGAGAAAGGAACTGCCCTGCCCCAGGGCCATGGAAACAGCAGTTGCTCTTGGGAGCAGCCTGTGGGTTTGCCTTGTTCTTCATTTTCAGCCTCATAATAAAAGCACAAGCTCTTTGCTTTAACCACCCAGATTCCTAGCCATCTCCCCCAAATGGAGGCAATGATGTGATCCCCGTGGTTTCTGGAAAACTCATTCAGCCCCATGTACCCACACTTTGGATGCAGTTGGGGTCTTCTAGAGGAGGGAAGGGACCATGAGCCTGTCTCAAAGGCAGAGATCTGAGCCACCCGTCAGCATCATCCTGCCCTCCAAAGGCCCTGGAGCTGGGTATCTCACTTCCCATGAGCCTCTCTCTCCCTTCCCTCTAGAGCATGGCATGGGAACCGATCATTCACCTCTTCCACCCTAGAGCTTTCTAGCACGTCCCCTGTCCTCTTGGGAGGCTGACCATGTCGCTAGGGCATCTGCCCTTTCCAACTTCCTTGGATTTAAACTATACTCCTTTTTAATAACAGCAGTGATGGAGTCCTCATGTCCGTGAGGCCCCTGTCATTGGCATGCAGATGGCTGTCCTCTGGTGTAGTCCCTCAAAGCCATGCTGTCCCCATTCCACAGACGAGGCATAGGCTCAGAGAGGGACTGGCTTGATGCAGGCTGAGGGGGTCAGAAATCCACCCTCTGTTCCTGACACACAAGGCATGCCATGAAACTCATGCCAAGTCCATGACTGACTTCACTCTAGGATGAAGACAGGAGTGGTGTGGGAGGGGCCGACTTAACCCCCCAAAGACGGCAATAACATCCCTGGTTCCTCCTGGGTGTGATTGACTAGGCTTGCAAAATCCACAGCTGAGATTTCAAGGCTTCCATTACTATTTTGTTAAGGACAAAATCACTCTTTTTTATTAATACATAAATAACTTTTTTTTTCTCAAGCAGGCCCAGAGAAATGAAACATAGATGGTGATAATGTTGAAAATGTTTACCTATTTCCTCTCTGAGGACATCAGATTAGTCCTTTCTGTGGGTGGAATGTGTAATCTGAGGGAAGACAATATCACCCTTTTGATCTTGCAATACATTTTTCATATCTTTGCCACAAAAGCTGATTATTATCGTGACATTTTTAAACAATGACTGTCCCCCGTGCAGAATGGGAAAGGAGAGCTGAGCTCAATGTATAGATAGATGGATGGATGCTTGTTGAAGGCCAGGCTGTGTGGATGAGTTTTCCTGGTGTGGTATTCACGTGGGCGACACCACAGTTAACCCCTTCATCCCAGGATGTGATTCTGTGCACTAATTGGGATCCACACTCGGTTGTGGGAATTGGCCTCTTCTCTCTCTTGATTAATGGTCCCGTCCACTCCTTCCAGGGTCACTGTGTCCCCTTTTGTTGCTGAACATGAGCGAATCCTTGATTAAATGATAGAAGCAGATTGGGCAAGGAAAGATGCAGGGAAGAGCTTCCTGAGTCACGGATGTTGCTGCTTGATGCTGAGAACCTTTTGTCTAGGAGGCCATCTGGGCCCATGACACAGGCAGCTGAGAGACAAGAAATCGGCTCAGCTGTCCAGGCTGGCTAACATGGAAAATGGCATTTCTGGAAAGCTCCTGTTTGGGGTTTACTTGTTCCCCTTGGGACTTTACCACACTGAAAGGGGGAATGGATGTGGACTAAAGGAGGGAGCTTCCAAAATGGGCAAAGGACAAAGATTCCAAACATGTCTAATGTGGCTGCATGTGTTGGGAGAATGGAGTGAGTCTGTGTACCTACCTGTGTGAGGATATGTCCTACGGCTGAGCACCACACAAGGCCAGGATAGGGGTCAGCAACGTGTGAGGTGGAAAGCCACCAGCAAAGGAGAGGTTAACATTTTAGGAGCTGTTCTGAGCTCCATGGCACGCAGCACTGGGCACAGCCCGGCCATCTTGCAGTGTAGTTAAAAATTCCCCTGCAGCCACAGGGAGCAAACAGATAAATCATGAATGAATTTGAAATTATATTTCCTTCTCTTAGCTTTCTTCCTGCCTCCTCCTGCCTCATCCACCTACTGACCCCAGAAACAATGTTACAGACAAATTGTAGATTGTAAATTCCATCCAAAGCATTTGGCTCCATCCTTGCTAAGGGTTTGGGGAAGGGGCTTTCCATCTTACTTCCTGAATCTGGTTGACAGGTTCCCTCCAGTGGGTAGAGACTGGAAGACAAAAGCCAGATGCCACCAGAGCTCTTGTGGAACCAGACACAAGAAGAGCACAGGTGTCCCGGACAGCGGGCAGATGTCACCAGGTGCATGTGCTTCTGGAGCCTCCAGCCGTTCTCTTTCTGTAGCAAAATACTCGACAAAAGAAGCTTAAGGAAGGAAGAATTTCTTTGGGCTCATAGTTTGGGGATACAGTGTATCGTGTCAGAAAAGTCATGGCAATAGGACCGTGAAAAGGATGGTTACCTTGCATCTGCAGAGAGATGAATGCTACACTCAGCTCACTTTCTCTTTTTTATTCAGCATGGGCCACCAGCCATGGATGATACACACACACACACACACACACACACACACACACATTGGGGGGAGGTCTTCTCAATTCAGTTAAACCTGCCCAGTAACCTTCACAGATACCTAGGGGTATGCTTCAAGCAAGATTCTAAATCTCACCAAGTTAACAATCACAGTGCCTCTCATACCACGTGTCAGGCACACTGGGATCTTGTCTTCTACGACAGATCAAAGCTTTCATGAGGCAATATATAGGTTTACATTGCTAATGTCACTCTCTTGAGAAACATAATCCACAGCCCATGAATAGTGTGTGGAAGTCACTAATAACAGGACCCCCAGGCATCCAGTACCTGAGAGAGATGTGCACCATAACTGGTGGCCCCTCCATGAACAGGTACACAGAGGCATCCACAGGGACTCTGATGGAATCTCCCTAGCACATGGAGTGGTAATAACCCAGGTTACCCATGAACAGGAGACCCCTGGGTTTCCCTGTCAAGGAACCCCACCCTCGGGCTATAGGGCACTGTGACCACTAAACTGGGAGTCTCTTTCATAGTTCTATGTCTCCAGTTCTTTGCTTTTTGACAAGTGTAATCTCTTTCAAGATCTTAAAAACTAAGTCTTGAGTCAGATTGAGTTTAGAAGCCCTGATGAGTCAGCTACCTGATACCAGCCCTTCTCTGTGGTTTTCCTTTAAAAAAATTTATCATCGTCGTCGTCGTCGACATCATCATTGTCATCATCATTGTGTGTGAGTGTGTGTAGGTTAATGCAGAGGCCAGAAGGTGGCATCAGATCCTCTGGAGCTGCAGTTACAGGTGGTTATGAGCTGCCAGATTCAGATGCAGGGAACCAAAGTCCTGCCTGTGGCAAGAGCAGCAGATGCCTTTAACCTCTGAGCCATCTCCAGCTCCTCCTTCATTTTCCATACCGGAGGATCTCTCCTCTTTTGCACACACCCCTCAGAGACCCTCTCGCCTCTGCCCCAGCTGGTGTGCAGCTGGTCCTTGCTGAAAAGGCAAGTAGTTTATGAGAAGAAATAGAGCAAAGAGCCAGTGAAATACATGAGTGCGCGCATGCATACACACACACACACACACACACACACACACACACACACACACACACACACCACACTTGTGCTTAGAAAGCAGTTCTTTCATCCCCTGCCTTGTTAACAACAGCAGTTACAATACATTACCTTTTCCAGAGATCCCAGTGTCTAAAATTCTCCCATCCATTCTTCCAAGGTAAGCATTTCCTGTTCACTGTTTTCTTGTGAGATAAAAATACATCAGTATAATATTTCTAGTGTTTTTAAAGTGATGTGTTTAGCTTTTCTCTACAGCAGGAAAACTAGGAAGTACCAAAGCAAGGTGCCTGGTAAGGTGGGGATGTTAAGAGGGAGGAGATCAAAATGTGGGGAGGTCACTGGCTATCCCGGCTCCCTGTCTCATTATCCCAGCTGGACCATACACTTCTCACGGTGGGGATCTGTCATCTCAACACGAGCCTGCCACTTGTGCATCCGTTTAACCAATCCACGTTGAGGTAGGTCTCTTCTGTGTAAAGCTCCCTGCCATGAGTGGGACACCGAGGCATATGAGACCCGTCCCTGTCCTCTCCATTGATGGGGGAGAGTGTATGCATACTTTATAAGTTACTTTAAGAAGAATATGCCTTAGATTCACAGAAGCACGTGTTTCCTCCATTTGTTGTGGGGTTTGAAGCATCCCAGCAAAATGAATAGATATAGCCAGTTCACTAGGGCCCTGCCTCACACAGCCAGCACATTTGTGGCAGAACACTCAACATCCACTCTGCACATTTCGGGAGTACAACACGCCGGGCGGTGGTGGCACATGCCTTTAATCCCAGCACTTGGGAGGCAGAGGCAGGCGGATCTCTGTGAGTTCGAGGCCACCTGGTCTACAAAGCGAGTTCCAGGAA